TTAGAATTTCAGTCTGTATACTAGTAACTAAGTATTTACTATAACTGACAAAGCCTAACGGTTAAATTAAAAATTTCACTGAGTCAATAAATTTGAAATTTACAGTTAACCTTCTATTACCGAATGAGATTATCTATAAGCAATTTTATGTTCAATGTTAGCTGGAAAAAAATCTTACCTGAAATTCTTCACAGCAATCCTTGCCTATCACAATCAATTCAGAGCCCAGAGTTTCTGCCCCTTCCACCTTACTCAAGATGTCCTTCAGAGATTTAAATTTAAGACACTCTTCAGGCTGGCATTCTATAGCAGCCTAGGAAGTAACAGCCCAGTAGGACATGGAGACAACGTGATAAGAAAGTTCAAGTTTTTGCACAAAACTTTCCCCATGTTTTGTCTGAAGTGCTTTCTGCCTTCTGAGAAAATACAGTGTTCATGCATAAGTTCATATTCAAGGCAAATATTTGTTGTGGATTAATTGCTATTTTGAATTATCCCCTATATCCACCGAACAATGTTATACACTAAGTTGAAGGCACTATAGTGCATATTTAACACTAGTGGAACATCATGCAATATTTAGAGTACCTTTTCAAATATTTGAAAGTTTTCAAAGAACACTTTTATAGGACAGTCAACAGGTTTTTTGGGTACCAAACACCTGATATATTCTTCTAGCTGGTAATGTAACCAAACAATATAGTAAAGTTCAAAATAAAAAAAATATTAAAATGCAAAACTTATTTTTAAAAAATCGGGTATGGTAATATTTTTAAACACTACTTTTTAGAATTTCTTCAGGCTTCCTTTTAGTGTTAGTGGCTAACTAGTGCATTACTAGTGGTGCTCTAATGTTCTAATTTAAATGTTGCTAAAAATTACGAGCTACAGAAAAATCATGAAATTCTAGACAGACCGGGCAGAGAAATCCAAAGCTAAGTGAAATGACCACAAATAAAATACCAATTTTAAAACAATTACTGAAATTGCTGGTAAAATTATTCATCTTCTAGGCAGTTTTAGGGATAACTACTGCATAAAAACAAGCACATCTGTTTAAATATAATTCATAAACCAATTCTGTCCACGTAACTTCTTCAGGTGTCCATATCTGGGATCATCAACTCAAATGTCTATTGAAGCTGTGCCAGGGCTGAGGTGCCTCACACCGTTGTCTAGCAATTCAGCCTGGAGGCAACCAACTTGTGACTCTTGCTTTAAACTTTGCTAACAAAAATTACAAATAGGAAGAAATCTTACAAATATCCAACTCTTATTATAAACTTCACCATCATCTACAGTAGAGTGTGACAAAAACTGGGGGAATCTCTTCATATTGATAATTAATAAATGTATTTGTCAAGAGGAGGATTTAATTTTCCATGAAAGGAATGAGTTCAACCTATAACAGTTTTTGCTTGAAAAGATATTTTGGATATACTGGTAACACAATAGAGATAGGTAACACAAACAAACTTTTTTTTGTGTATTTTTTTATTGTTTGGAACACCAAAGGAACCCAAACTTCACATTTACAATGAACTTTTTAATAAAAAATAGGCTGTACATCATATTAGAGATACAAATTATACAAAAGTTTCTGAAAAGTAAACACAGACACTTATACAGTAAAGAGAATGAACTGAATTGCTATCATCTTTAATATTCTTTCTCTCCTAAGTGACCAACAATCGTAGAATGTTGAGTTCACCACCATTCTAGCTATTTTGATGTGTGAGATTTCTTTAAAATCAATAATGAATTATTGTGCATCAAGTAATTTTATATTTTCACATTATCAGTAATGCTAAAAGAATCAAAATCTCTAAAAGGTGAAGTTCATTCCAAATTCAGTAATGTGAGCTACATCAACCTAGCTCATTACTCCCAAACTAATATGATACAGAAAACTCTTTAAACCAAACATTCCTTAAGGCACCACACTGCCTCTTCCTAGTATAATCAGGCCTCAGTACACGATTTTTGGAGATCTGTTGAACATTTGTTTGGCCCCTACTACTTTAAAAATATTGCCACATTTCAGAAGTCAAGATCCAAGAACTCAGTTAAGTCTCACTCAATGATTATCAAGTTGTGCTATTTAAATGAAATACCACTAAGACTAACACGTTTTCTCAGTAAGCCAACTAATGAAACTTTAATATGTGTGAACTTACGACCTTGTCAAATGTACCCTGAAAATATCTGAAGTAACTATGTCAAGATACATTTTTTCCTAAAAAGTTTGCTTCCTCTTTCTGCCAACAAATACAAGTTTAAAATGAATTACAACTAAATAATTACATATATATTTAGATGGGGGTCTTGCTATTTTGTCTAGGCTGGGCTCGAACTCTCTATCCTCCTGTCTCAGTCTCCTTAGAGTAGCTGGGGCTACAGCCGTGTTCTACTGTGCCCAGCTAATACAATTTTAGAATTGCAAAGTATAAATATTCTTCTCTAGGTGTTCTAAATATCATCTATGACATCTCTTACCTGTAATAAGCACCCACCCTGTGTCAGGTGTTTTATATATGTTAGCCCACTGAATCCTCATGACAACCTAGTATGTCATTTTTATTCCCCTTTACAGATGAGGACACTGAAGTTTAGTATCAACTTCTCTGCTTAAAGTTTTCTGGTCAGCGTAACATCTCCTTTTACTTAAAAGAAAACACGTGAGCACCAAGAGGAAATCTGAAAGCACCTTAGTCCTAGCATTCTATTACTTGGTTACCCCACCCTAATTACTGATCCTTTAGTACTATAACATGGCAATGTTGATTACTACATTCCTTTATCAAAATGATGAAATTGTGGTTAGTGTTCTGGATAAATCCTCCTTTATTTGCATACACACCTAATTTCTCTAAAAGGTCAAAATTCCCATCATGTTCTATTCAAGACTACTGACTCAAGGCACATGGAAGGCTTTCTTTCTTCTGGCTGGAACTACTGCTGGATTTTTGTTAAAAGTGTTTAATAAAACTTATCATTTTTATTTTATGTCAAATTTTAAACCTTTCCAAATGTGGAAAAGTCTTCCATTTTTAAATTTTGCTTCAAAAGTCACAGAGATAATCATACGAGGTGAAATATGAACAGCTCTGCATTGAAAACCACTCATCCATCTACCCTTTACTCATGTAACAAATGTCCCTCTCTCCTGGGTCTGTCCATCTGGGGGTGGAGAGACAGACACCCAGATATGTCAGTTAATAATAAATGTAAGAAAGATTTGGGATTTAATTATTTTTCTAGCAGTGTTTAGCTTACTAAGTGTATTTTTCCAAGCTTATCGACTTCTGTGTTTTGTTTCACATATTGGACACAGAGGATAAATTTATGGTCAGTGGTGATAAGAAATAAAGAGCAGGGTCTTCAAGACCTAAATGTTAAATCAGAAGCGGGCTACTTACTACTCTTCAGGGTTGTTTGAAAGCAGCGGTTATTAATCTCTTGAAGAACATGAAACCTTTTCACACTCATTCAATAAGTTTACTAAGCCCAGAAAAAAGTCCAAATACATGCATTTTTTACACAATTTTGTAAACAGTCTCAGGTGGCCTAATATCCATGGACGGTGGACTAGGAAATTCATTTCAAAGTCAACTCATAATCAAGGGTATGTGTGTGGGGGGAAGAAGGGAGAAACGTGGAGGGAAGGGGTCGATCAGCAAATTCTATCGAATTCAGATTCTGTGATTCTTGTGCAACCCTCTTAATACGAAAGAAAAAAAGTGTAACAAAACAGATCCAAAGATGTTAAGGCTCCCTGGTTGCTAGTCCAATGTTCCCTCTACTATATGATTTTCATTAGAATGTAGACCTCTCAAGCAACTTCATTAAACAAATTATTTCCCATCTTTTACGGTAACTACATTGCTACATTACTTGTGATAAATCTTAATCCCAAATCTTCTTTTACCATTACTCAATCTGTGTACTAAGGGAAATAAAATCAAGTTTATTATCAGCCTAAGCTCAGTCTTGGGGAAGGCAAAATACAATGTGCCATTTTAAAGCAAATTGATTTTTATTATAAATGTGGTACATGCACAAAATAAAAAATTCCAATACTGAATGGTACAGGTGAAAAGTAAAAGTCCTCCATCACAAACCAATGTCCCACAGTACTACCTCTCAGAGGTAACCAATGGGTTCTTTCCTTAAAAAATCTCAGATTATGACAGCAAATGTGCATACACATATACCTCTGAAAAATACAAGGGGCTCACAGGACTAGAAGACTATAACATGCAGGAAGTATTAACTCTCCATTAGGAGAATCAATGTTAATTACACTTCGCAATACCACTTCAAACATAACAAATTATTAATTTAAAAGATGGTTTACTATAACAAGTATGTGATATACTTATGACTTAAGCAAGTAAGGGTAAGCCCCTTTAGAGATAGAAACAATTTAAGTCACACCTCCCTTGATCACGGAAGTGAAGTTGTGGGTAAGGAGTAGAACAGATAAATTCCAGCAGGAGAAAACTGAGGGGTGAGTGGGAAAGCAGTACCTCAGGCTGTGCAACTACCACTCAGAAAACAATGCCATTTTATTGCAATGTATCCAAGGTGATTTCTTTGCCAGCACACAAAGACTGCTACCAAAGTCCAGGGGTTTCAAGATTGATAAAAATTGGCTCAGACAGAAAAACCTGTTGTCAAAGAAATCTCTTCAAAGGCTGGTAAGACACTAGGGTTATGTCAATCATGGACCCCGTAGCAATTCCTTTGCATAGAGACTACTTTAATCATTTTTCTATACCAAATTAAGATATGCAAATCCAAACTTTTATTCAAGACAAATAAGCATGATTTCATCTTTGAGGTTACCTCTTGGTAAAGACCAAATACACGTATTTAAGAGGAAGAGTTTCCTCAAAAAAAAATATCGGTCTTGGAGAGCATTTTACCAAAATTTGCATTGTTTTTAAAAAACCTAACTTGACAGGGGAAAAAAACTAATGATAAAAAAATCAACTTACCAAGAAGTGAAACAGGCTGGGTTACAGGAGGGGTGGGCAGATTCGTGGGTGCAGCAGGTGGCACAGCAGAGCCATACATTTTCACACTGTCACCAGACTCGGCATTTCCTCTAGCCCCAGACACCACTGTTGGAATGGGATTTCCAATAGATAAGTCTTTTGTAGTGTCTTCATTTATACCAGCGATAGCAGCTAAGGAATATAATTATATCAACATGTGAAGCTGAATAATTAATCATCTCCCCGGTCAACATTCTTCTGCCATACAATAGACCCTATTACTGGTTCACTTTCCCTCCTACCCCCAGCTCCAAAGGACAAGTGAACACAAAGGCAAAACATGCTTACAGTTTGGGATGCTTATTGGTGGAGTGTGAGGAGGAGGAATGGATACCGGTGGAGTTATAGGAGGTGGGGGTCCAGGAGGAAGAAAACCTAGGATAAGAAAAATAAGGTCAATTTATGCTGTACACCACTTCATTAAAGGCTCTAGAAGAATGTCTTCTCAAACAACTTAGTATACCTGGTGGTAAATGCATTGGGTTGAATCCTGGGCGCAAAAATGGTGGAGGAGGAGGGGGAGGAGGAACACCAGGACCAAAGCCCGGTGGGGGAATTCCCATAGGGGGTGTGAAAGTGGGTGGCTGGAGAGCACCAACTACAGGAGGACCTGGCTGATGTGGTGGCACCTAGAAGGAAAGAAAGAAAAAAAGATGAAACCACCTTCCTATTCATACAGTGAGTATATAGCAAGAAAATATCTTATTGTTGAAAAAAACAGATGTTTCTAAATTTGTGATTAGATCAATAAATTTTATTAGGTGGCAGGCAGTAGTTAACCTGTACTTACACTAACTGACACAAATCAAAGTTTTGCTCTCTACTTTATGAAAGCAAATTCGCATTATATTTTATAAGCATCTATTGGTGTTCTGATATCACATGATACATTTTAAAATGTTCCATATCAAATAACTTTGGGAACTACAGCTCTAAGAAAGGCTATCCGGCAAGTGACACAGTGGTGATCACAGGTCCTGGTCCCCTCACCCCCTCCACAGTGTGACCTTGAATAAGCTATTTAAACTCTAAAATGAACAAATGTCAACCTCACATAATTATAGGGATTAAGGGAGTTAATACATATTAAGTTTGAGTACCGGGCACTTAATAAACACCCAATAAATACTACCTTCTTTTTTGTTTTAAAAAGATCAATTTTAACAGATTAGTCAGGTTTCTTTAAATGAGAATGAATGCTGATATACACTGAATTTTGTCTGGAACCTGTACTGGAAGGACATATCCAAATGGCCAACTAAAGAGTTTGCCAACATGGGGTGTCCATTTAAAAGATATCACAGCTAAGTATTGTACCCAAAGCATGTAATTTTCTCCTTATATTGAGAAAATCAACAGACTACATACCCATTTTTGTGATAGCTCAGATTTATCTGATTCAGATTTAATGTGAGAAACTGAGGAAAGTTAAGTATTGAAAGACAAGAAAAAAATCTAGTAGATCACACATAGAACTATGGGCCAAGTACTTATAATTTTCACTAAAAGGTTATTCATTATTCAGCTATTATTATGTAACAGAAAACATCCTGAGCACTTAACATACATTATCTCATTTAATCCTCAAAACAACTCTGACATAGGAAGAACTCCAGACCCAAGGCCAGGAAAGAAAAAAATGCAAGTTAAAAAAAATGTGGAAATTTATCACTGATCAGTTTGAGCATCTCTCTTTTGTTCAGAAGATTTAGGGATACAAGTGGTTTTTGATTACATGGACAAACTGTACAGTGGTGAGGTTTGGGCTTTCGGTGCACCTGTCACCAGAATAGTGCACACTGTACCCAACAGGCAATTCTTCATCCCTCACGCCCCACCTCCAAGAAATTTGCACATTTATAGATAGGAAAATGAAGCTTAGATGTTAGATTACCCACCCAAAGCCACACTGCTTGCTGACTATAAATAATGGAGCTGGAAATCAAACCCAGTTCTACTAGAATCTGAATTCTTTCTTTTGAAGTAATATTAGTAAGTTGGTTGACTAGACAGGAAAGACTTTATATAAGAATATATCTTCTTCTGGCCGGGTGCGGTGGCTCACACCTGTAATCCTAGCACTCTGGGAGGCCGAGGCTGGAGGATCGCTCAAGGTCAGGAGTTCAAGACCAGCCTGAGCAAGAGCGAGACCCCGTTTCTACTAAAAATAGAAAGAAATTAGCTGGACAACTAAAAATATATAGAAAAAATTAGCCGGGCATGGTGGTATATGCCTGTAGTCCCAGCTACTTGGGAGGCTGAGGCAGGAGGATTGCTTGAGTTCAGGAGTTTGAGGTTGCTGTGAGCTAGGCTGACACCACAGCATTCTAGCCCAGGCAACAGAGTGAGACTCAGTCTCAAAAAAAAAAAAAAAAAAAAAAGAATATATCTTCTTCTGTGACCAGGTGTTTAGAAAAAAATTAAATAAAATAAAAAGAATATATCTTCATGTTAATTGGCATTCAACTTACAATTTACCCATTAAATAGATAAGAATCATCCATTAAAAACATTTCATAATGGTAGCACCCAAACTGAACATTAACAAACTCCCTTTCCATCAAAGGAGCTGCTTTTTAGGTATTCATCTCAGTTCTTTCAAAACATAAAAGTCCGTGAAGAATGAAGATCCAGTAAGAAAAAAAGGGTAGGCAGAATATATGAAACTCTAATAGGTTCTCACTTCATGTCTAGTACATTATAAAGTAAAACACTGGATAATCTAGACAGATGTAAGGCAGCATAAATTTATTCTGCTTCTATTAATATTCAGGAAAAGAATAGGTTAAAGAGTTTATAAACAATAGATCTGCCAAAATATGAAAAATATGGACATTTATGTACTCATGTTTTTGATTATGAATCTAGACATACATCTATAATAAGATTCAGAAAGGGATCTTCCAGACCCTTAAAAGTTTAAATAATGTCCCAAATATTCTCACCTGTGGAGGTGGTACTGTTATAGGTGCAGGAACAGGAATAGGAGGGACAGGTACAGGTAGAGGTTTAGGTATGGGTGATACTGGTTCTGTGTGTGAGGTTTCTGCACCTCCATTTTGAGCAACTTCATTTTCAGGCTTCTTAGGAATTCCTTTCCAATCTGTAAGAGTTAAATAAATTTAACAATAAGAGTTTACCATTTTCAGTTTATAACTTAAATCTAGAAATGAAAAATGCTGATTATAAAAATAACAGCAGCCTGATTATTAAAGATATTTCTATGCTGATTTTATAAACAGTAATTATTTAAATTAATGAATAATGGGAGAAAACACGTAAAAGAATGCTTGCTATGTGCCAGGCACTGTCCTAAGCACTTTATTTATAGTAACTTATTTAATTCTCACAACCATCTACAAGTAGATATTATTTTCATTATACAAACAAGTAAACATAACTCGCCCAAGGTCACATTCCTAGTAAGTGTGGCAGGGATGGATTCAACCCAGACACATCTGGTTCTAGAGTCTATGTTCTTAACCACAAGAATGTATTGTTTGAATAAAAGTATTTAAAAAAAGGGAGGGATAATGAAACACCCAACATTTCCTGAACAAATTTTACTTAATATTAAAGAATAACTTAGATAACCTTCCACCTCAGAGATTCTCTTGTATTCTCTACCTCTTCAATAAATCTTTCCTGGCCAAGCTGGCATTTTAAAATATTTATGCCCACAAATACCTTCAACTTCTTATCTTACATATTTACTTTAGATTGCTCTTCTGGACATTTAAAAATTTCCAAAGAAATTATAATGAAGCATTAGATTAAAACACAATATCAAAGATCTATTTGATTCATTAAATTTCACCATGAAAAATTCTGCTTCAACTTGATTTTATCTCTTGATAAAAATCAAGATTAAAAAAAAAAGAAAAATTGGCCGGGCGTGGTGGCTCATGCCTGTAATGTTAGCACTCTGGGTAGGAGTTCCAGACCAGCCTGAGCAAGAGTGAGACCCCGTCTCTACTAAAAATAGAAAGAAATTAGCTGGACAACTAAAAATATATAGAAAAAATTAGCTGGGCATGGTGGCACATGCCTGTAGTCCCAGCTACTCGGGAAGCTGAAGTAGAAGGATTGCTTGAGCCCAGGAGTTTGAGGTTGCTGTGAGCTAGCCTGACACCACAGCACTCTAGTCCAGGCAACAGAGCAAGGCTGTCTCAAAAAAAAAAAAAAAAAAACAGAAAGAAAAATTGTACTTAAGATCTACTTAATTCTGTAATTAATAATTAACCTTATAATCAGAAATTATTTTACCTGTTTGCATCTCTTCCACTAGATATAAACTACCTGAGGGCCCAGATCACACATTTGTCTCATTCCCTACTCAATCCTCCCTTTATAATTGAGAGACTGGCACACAGGGGGTACTTTAAAAATTTTAAAATTCAGGCCAGACATGGTGGCTCACATCTGTAATCCTAGCACTTTGGCAGGCCCAGGCAGGAGGATCACTTGAAGCCATGAGTGTGAGACTGGCCTGGGCAAAATGGCAAGATCCTGTCTCTACCAAAAATAGAAAAATTAGCTGAGTGTGGTGGTGCATGCTTGTAGTCCCAGCTACTTGGGAAACTGAGGTGGGAGGATCTATAGTGAGCTATGATCACGCCAGCCTGGGTGACAGAGACCCTGTCACAAACAAACATCCTCAAAAATCACTTCCTGATGCAAATAATAAACAGGACATTTGATTTGTCATATGTACTACCAAGCAAATAAGTGAACTATAAGAGAAATTAAATACTACTTTACCTGGGTTAAGTGTATCACTGTCCAACATTCCTCCTTCACAAAAACTCTCCAGTTCCTCAGGTTTGACTTTGTCCCATGGAATATAAGTAACACCAAGTTCTACATCCCAATACTGCTTATAATCTGCCTTTATTCCTTTGTTTAAGGCCCAGGCAATCTATTTCACCATTAGTGGAATATAAAAAGAAAAGAAGGAAGGAAGAAGGTATTAAGTTTTGAGAGTTCACTATCCTCTATAATTCTATTCATTCTCAATTGGGCAGCCAGGGAGTAATCTGGATTAGCTATCCCTGGATCTCATTCAAAGCCTTATTCTCACTATGGAACTAATTACTTTATTCACACTTTTTCCTAGGATGAAAATTTCACTGGCATTTGCTCCTTACCAACTCCCACCCAACCCAGTCACCGTAAAATTCGATGTTTATCAGTGTAAGGCTGAAGTTCCCTGAACAGCCCAGCATACTGGGGATCACTTTTGAAAGTCTGTGGGTGCCTTGTAATCACTCAGCATTAGATAAAATCCTTTGGCGGTACAATCCAAGGGTAGAAAAGGGTACTAGGACACTGAGGCAATACCAACTCTGGCTCCTTAGGGAAGAATGCTCATGTACCTGCTATATCTTTTTCTCTCTCTTTGGTGAATATTTTTTCACAGTTAATTCTGAGATAGCAAAATTTAAAAATAAAACATGGAATATCCAAATTTTTTGAACAAGACAAAACATATCACTAAATGACATACTGAAAGCACTAACTTAACTAATATACCTTTGATGAATGCATCTACATTTGAAAAAAAAATTCTACCTTGAATTTAACATTTAAAATTTTATGTTAATTAAATGGTATAGTTCTTTTAAGGGGATAACCTCTTAAAAACAAAAGATGCATATGAAAATTCCCCAGTATAGTCACTTCTAAGCCCTAAATCATGGTTTTTAAAAAGCCACATAATAATTACATATTTGTAAAAAGTGAATTATAAAACTCTACCTTTATGGATTTCTGGTTCACTTTATAGTTTCCTCGGCTCAGTTTCTGCAGGGCACGATAAGCATCTTGCCTATGAACCATAACGATATAGGCACAACCCCTGGGAGGAATCATCTGCTCCAAAACATTTCAATATTACAAAAGATTACAACAAAATTGAAGAGCAACCAGATATAACACCAAGTAACCAGTCCCAACATCCCCTTACCTTTGGCCACTGCTCTATAAAGGTTAAATTCACTTGGAAGTTTGCAATTCAAATTTGGTCTCAACTGATAATTGAATCCTCCAAGCTTTATTATATAAAAAGACTTGGTTATCCAACAAATGTTAAATGTAGAGAATGTTAACATGGAACAGAACATCTAAACTCTAACTACGGCAATAAACCTGGGCAAATGGTAACTTAGATCTCAAGTTCTTAATTTCATAAAATGACATTAATCACATCTGTCCACTGTCATTAAATAACTGAATAAACACTCACATTAATTGATTCGATAGGACCAAACTCTTCCAAGAGACTGGCAACATCCTGCTGAGTAGTCCTTTTGTCCAGCTGTCCCACCCAGAGTGTAGTACTGCAAACTTAAAATAAAAATAGCCACATTAGATAATGAGGAGCACAGTGCCTTATGCTAAAAAAATCATTACACAAAATATGTATGAGTTATATTATGATACCACAAGTTTAAATAGTAAATCCCACATACATTTTTAAAACTCTAGAAAATTATGATAGTATTTCTAGAAATAGAACCAGGATAGTGAAAGGTATGTAAGAGTGAAAAAACAAATGGCCCTTTTGTAGATGGATCTAAAGATTTCATCTATAAAAACTGAAGCTAGAGAAGAAATAACTTGCCTAGAGTCACCCTGCCAATGAACAGCAGAACTAGGACTTGAACTCAAGTCCCTTGATTACCAGCCAATTCAGTGCTTTGTTAACTATATGTGGCTGTCCTTTTCCAACTCTTGAGAGTTTATGGTTTTTCTTTTATGCTGTATCCTAGGTAATAAGCCTTACAGAGTCAGGAATTTTATACATGCCCCAGTCATATTATGAATTAAAATCTTAATAATCTTAAATTACTGTTTTATATAAAAAATATGTCTAACACACATTACAAAACATATTCTAAAGACATCTAATGAGATTCAGGGGATAATGCCAAGCTAATATATTCTGTAAATTATAAATCTTTATATAAGTCAGAGTGTAGTAATTGTTCATTAAAAAACCCATTTCCATTGTGTACAGGAGAGCTAGTTAATGAACTTGTACTATAAAAGTATGTACATGCTATCACTCATCACTGTTAGTCTAGTTCACTCCTTACTGCTGCTTTATAGCTGGTTTAATGTACAAAAGCAAATAAAAGGGTATAAATCAATGCATAAACAAATAAGACATGATAAACCAATATTTAGAATAAAAATCAACAAAGGTAACATTTCATTTATGGCTTTGCTAACAGTGATAAGACATTTTAAACCCATGATAAGAAAAAACAATGCAGGAATTCTGAATATAAAGGCTTAGTTACCACTTGCAGTTTCTGGTTTGACTTGAGGAAGGCCTTTTTGCCGACGTTCCCTTTCTTTTTCTCGATCCCGTCTTTCTTGGGATCGAGATCGAGGAGAATGTCGGCGTCTATCTCTGGACCGAGATCGAGAACGGCGATGACGAGACCTTCGAGATCTAGAACCAGATCTAGATCGTCTCCTTTTTGGTGACCTAATGTTTGCATGAGGAGAACGAACAGCACACACAGAGAAAAAACAGAAAATATAAGTACATACTAATTTAAAAAATACAACTAGGTACTTTAATGTTTATGTAAGAATGGCAATAGCATGAAATTAATTTTAAATATTTTAATGTGTCTGAAGTTAGAAAGCATATACATCATTTAAATATTTAATAAATAAGGTTGACAGCTTATAAAAGTCTCTCATCTTCAGTATCTCTGGCACTATACTACATTATATCTGCAAGAAGCTAATGGTTGAGATACACTGCTACTATTCTTACCTACACTTCAGTAAAGCCTTCTTTTCTGCAGCAATCAAAAATGTAATCCAATTATAGCATTACTATGACATTTTGTGCTTTTGTAGGCTGATAAAGTTGAAAAGGAACTGTTAATATACAAGTCTTCTAGTACCACATACTGTATATGTTGGCATCAGAGTAACTCGGATAGAGGGAAAAAATGTAAGATGACTGATCTTAGATTTTTTTTCAATAAATACTTCTCTTGCCCCCTTCTCCACACAAATAGAAATACAAATATGCCAACTGTTGTTTATTAACATTGACTATAATCCAATTTGATTTTAATCTCTGTCTCCTAAGACATACAGGGTTGGAAAAACATTTTCTATAAATTACCTGGATGCTGACCTAGATCTTGACTTTCTGTTATCAGACATATGCCGTTTAACCTCTTGAATACAAGGTTGTTCTACCTCCATTTCCTTAAAAACCAAAAACAAAAGCCATCATAAAATGAGAAAAGCAGAAATAATAAAGGCCAGAGGACAAAATCTAAGGAATGCTAAATTAAAAATCTCTTGCCCCGCAGCAATTCTCTTTTGCCTACTCGGGATCAAATTATTAACTTAATAATGACTGGCCATCACTGAAATAAACTTTTACATGGTTTACAAGATTAGAAGAAATATTTCTCTACTTTTGGAAGTTATTTGGCCTAGGTTACATATCATTTAAATAAACCATCATCTAAGGTGCGAAGTAGGTACTGGTTAAACCTACACCCCAGATCTCAATCCTCACAGAACCCTATGGAAGCTGGTAGTAGTATAATATCCACTTTCTAGAGGGAAAACTTAAAGCATCGAGAGGGTTTAATACATGCCCAAGGTCTTTCTTCATATTTGGAAATGAAGACAGCAAGCAAATAAGCAGATATCTGCATGTAAGGCAAGGCAACCAAAAAGATAATCTGAGAATGAAATTTTACCTGTTGATGTGGCTTCTGAGTGAGTGGTTCATTTTGTGTCTGAAAAGAAGCTTGGAAAGGCTGTTGCACTGGTGGAGTGGGAGGAATCACAGGCTGAGCCATGGGAGGAAATGGAGGTGTAGGAAAAAGTCCAAATCCTGGCATCTGTCCATTAGGAGGAAGCGGAACCTTCCATTTTTAAAGAAAGCATATGAGTAGATTTTAAGTAAGAGCCAAGGAAAAAAATTTGGAAAACCTTTAGTTACTTTAAATAAAACTAAAATATCTTCAATAAGCTTTGATTAAGGAAAAGCTACAACAGTACTCTACATTGTTTAACAACTGCCATAGGTACAATCTTTACCCAAAGAACTGTTATGTATCAAGTATACAGGTTAAAAATCCTGTAACTGATTTCAAAAGTATGAACACACAGGTCTGGTTTTAAATATTCAAAGAAATAGCTTTATTTACATAAAGAAGCAATGTGATAGACTGAAAAAGTCACAAAATATTCTTTCTAATAAACTTACAGTAAGTGTTAAAACACTTGAACATATGTTCATAGGTTTTCTTCATATTTTAAACAGGCTTACAAAATAATTTTCAATCTTCATCAATAAGTCATTAAAATCACCATATCACTTTCATATTACCAACTACATAGAATGGAATGAACACAATATAGATAATAAAATAATATAAGAGATTTCTTAAAACCCTGAACTGAAGCCATAAAGCAGTCACTGCAGAATTTGAAAAACAAACAGATTTACTAGAATGACTACAGCACTGGAAGGCCAGGATCTAGATTTTTAAAAATGCTCCTCCCTTCGCCTCCATAATTTACATGCATAGCCAAAGTTAGGAAACTTTGAATTAGAGGATTTACTAGCACAAATCCGATGAACAAATCTCTACTAACTTTCTGCAACTCTCCAGTGTTCCATGTACGCTTCTTTTATTGCAGCTTTCAAACTATGTTCCTGATAGGACAAATTAGGGTAGACAAAAACAAAACAAAACAAAAGCAAACTATGTTCCTGAATGTTGAAAACTGAAAGCCCTTTAAAGTATTTAATCGCACGACTTATAGAAAAAAAGGGCCCTGCAAGGGAAATAGCTGTATAACTAAATAGGTCAGTTTCTTCATATAGAACCATAATCTCTCTCTAAACATTTTAACTAAACGTCCTATTACTAAAATATGAGCATGTAATATCTAGCACCCTTGTTTTAACTAAAGCAAAAAGCAACTCAAAACAGATACATGCTCAACAGCTTTTACTGAAGTTGTAGTACTACTTAACCAATCACATAGCTAAATAGTGGTCTGTGAAGTGCAAACCATATGCTGTAATTAATAGTTACTAAAACTCAGTTATTAAAACTCAGCTGCAAGAAAAATGCTTGTACCTGATGGTGCATTGGATCCTGTGGCATTCCCATCATTCGAGGTTGGAACTGATCCATATTTTGATGCTGTGTGTATGCTGGCTGCTGCATGCCATCTCCAGGAAATCCACTAAAAAAAGGTGAGTAATCTTTTTACCCATTCAAAAGCACAAGATTCTCAGCCACATTCATACTACAGAAACACAGGATGTTGTTTAGGAGTCATTAGCAATCAACATTTTATTGAATCGTATATTTATCCATTTATTAATTTATATACTCAGTATTATTTCAACATAAAAACCATTTTTTTATTCTAAATCTGATAGGATTCCCTTCCCATTCAGGAGAAAACCCACAATACCACAAATTTTACAAAACAATGACTCCACTGAAAATTGTTTTTATTGCTAAATGTTACTGAGAATGTGCTTTACCAACTCTGTATCTGCTGAGGAATTAAAAAAAAAGAAACTCACAATGGTGCCTGTGGAGGAGGAGGGGAGGCAGCAGCGGGGGCAGTGGCAGCGGGCACAGTGGTGGTGGGCACGGGAGGCACGGCGGCAGCAGGTGCTGTCGTTGTGATGGCAGCAGCATCCTCTTTCTTTGATTCTTCCACAGCTTCTGGCTCATCATCATAATCAAATCTATCAAGCAGCTTCTGGAATATGTCAATATTTCATTTTAAAATTTAGACTGATTAACCCGACAAAAATGTATTTGCCACCATCTATAACCCCACCACACTGTCATGTACGATCTCATTTTCCCACATGCCCCTGAGGACCCCAGTTCACAGACATAACCAATTTTTACACAAATGCCATTTTGGAAAAGATACAATTTTTTATTTTGCCCTCCTTCCTGAATTATAAGTCTAGTATTTTCTTTTTGACTGTTTTCTCTATTTTCTGTTTATTTCATAATTATTTTAGCAGTATATATAACTTTCTAAAATATCCATTTACCTAGACTAAAAACTGCTGGAACTTCGTGCACATGAAAATGGATATACATTTCAGTCAGCTGTAAAATGTAAAAAGAACGACTGTCTTATCCAATCACTGTAAATGCATACAGAAAATGTCCATATACTATTTGCTCAAGAATATATGACTATATGAAAAAGAAAAATAAAACAGAATGGTGTAGCACAGGGGCACAAAGAAGTCTCACCACCTGTTCACTAGATTTTTTCGTAAAACTTTGCAGCTTACCAGAAACTTTCATTAAAAAAAAAAAAAAAAAATCAGGACTCTTCATGAAATCACATGTCCTGAAGAATAGCAATTTAAAAACAAGATGTATTCAGAAAGTAAGGAAACACATTAAATACCTACTAATGTGTTTCAGTAGACTACAGACTTCCTCATCACAAGAACTCTGCATTGGCAATAAAATTCTCTTCACAGATAAGGAAACAAACTAAGGCTCAGGTGAGTGAGAAACATATCAAGATTATACAGTCAGTGAATGGTAGAATCAGGATGTGGAGACTGGTCTTTCTGACTACAAAGCCCTCAGTCCCTGGCCTCCAACAAGCAATCTTTTCTTTCAAGCTGTGCCCATTCTGCTTGTGGATTTCGACCTCAAATTTTACAAGTTGTGTTGTTCTACAAGAGTTCCGCCTAGAGATTCTAGTTCTACTTTATGGAACAGATATCTAAATTAGGAAGGGAAATCCCCTCCTTGGACAACACAATATATAGGATTAAACTAAGTGTTCAGAGTGTTTGGGGATAGAGCTAACTTGTGTTTTTTTTTCTTTGTCATTCTAGGCCAAGTGATTAAATGATTTTATAGAATTCCTTTTTCTGAACTTGGCGTAACTAACAAACATTGGCTGACTCATTTAAGGTTAACACTAGCAGAATTACAATTCAACTTAACAACAAGATAAAGATGCCCACTATCAAGACTTTTACTCAATATTTTTCTGGAAGTCCTAGCTATAAGTACATTAACAAAAGAAAAAGAAACAGGAATAGATGTCAAAGACAAAAAGTTAAATTTAGTAGCTACCTAGAAGATTTAAAAGCACCAACTAGAAAACTAAGGATTTAACGCCATGACCATTTTTTTTCAGAGACAGGTTTCACTCTGTTGTGCAGACTGGAGTGCAGTGGCGTGATCGCAGCTCACTGCAGCTTTGAGCTCCTGGCCTCAAGCAGTCCTCCCACCTCAGCTTCCCAAAGTGCTGGGATTACAGGTGCAAGCCACTGTGCCCGGTAACCATGACCATTTATAAGATAAAATAACAACTGGCAGTATCATTAACTAAATGTTATAAAACATTAAAAACGATTAAAAATCTAAGAATGAAAGAAAAAATACATAAGACCTATAAAAAAATTGTAACAGAGATTTTAATAAAAGGAGATTCTGTATGAGAAGCCATCAGTGCTTCCTAAATTCACGGAAAAATTCAAAGGAATTCTAACATCTGGAAAAGTATGCTGTGATGGTTAATTTTATATGTCAACCTGGTTAGGTTGTAGTGCCCAGTTGTTTGGTTAAACACTAATCTAGATTTTGTTATGAAGGCATATTTTAGATGAGATTAACATTTAAATCAGCAGACTATGAGTGAAGCAGATTGTCTTACATAATGAGTGGGCCTTCACCAATCATTTGAAGGCCTTAAGAATAAGAACCAAGGTTTCCTGAAGAAGGAATTCTCCTCAATACTGCAATACGGAAGCCCTGCCTGAGTTTTTAGTCTGCTGCCCTGTGGAATTCAGACTCAGGCCTGCAATGTTAACTCTTACCTGAATATCCAGCCTGCTGACTTGCCCTACAATTTCAAATTTGCCAGCCCCAACAACTGCATGAGCCAATTCCTTAAGATAAATCTCTTTCTTTCTATCTAGACACAGATATAGATATAATTATTGGGTCTGTTTCCCTGGAGACTCCTAATACAAATCACCAAGAATAGCCATGGAAAGTCTGAAAAAGAATATGAGTGTGTGTGGGGAGGGGGAGGGTATGTGTGTGTGTCTGTGGGAAGGACAGCTGGAAATGAAATATAGTATGTATGTTACATGTATTTCAACTGTTATGATGCAGAAATAAATATACTAGTGGGACAGAACAGTGTCCAGAGAGATAAAGTAAGAAAACATATGGGAATGTGTGTATGAAAAAGCAGTGAGGGAGTGCCTATTTTCAAAAATGTAAAGATTTAACTATTTTGAACCATATTCTAAAACAGATTCCAGAGGGACTAAAGAGAAAAACATAAATATATAAAACTATTAGAGGAAAACATAGAATTCTTTTTTTAATACTGATGAGAGTCTTCCTAATCACAATACAGAAAAAACAATAAAACCACATATCTAAGAATTTATGTTCACATATGCATGGAAATAGGTTTGAAAGAACACACACACAAATCTCTTCAAACTGTAGTGTAGGATTGCTTCCCTTTTCCTTTATAAGTTTTGTATTATTGTGTTTTGTCCCCATACAAACACGTATTGCTTTTTTTACTCAAAAAATTCATTCCACCTTCTTTTAATGAGTAGTCATTAATAAAACAAGGTATAATGAAAACCAATATTTACCATATGGACTTTTAATTTGGACTATCAGAAATAAAGTTTCTCTAAAACAGGCAAGAGTGGAGCTGTCTGCGTTAAAATTTGAACGGGAAGCTCTGAGCTGTGCATGTTCAGCATACCTATATCCATGGTGATGGCTTCCTAAACATGCCTAAAGAACCATAAAGGTCTAAAAGAGCAGTTGAAAAACACTGAAACAACCCAAACCCTCATATTATAGATATGGTAACTAAGGTTTTTTAACTCAAAAAAACCTGAAAGTAATTTAAATGACTATCAGTAGTGCAATGGCTAAATTGTAGTATGTTCACGTAATGGAATACTACAGATTATACACATTCGGTGTAAATATGGATCTAAATCCACTAACCTTAACAGTAAGAAACAAGAGCATTAAGACCAAAACTAGCACGTATGTATTATGACCAATTACAGAAAGGCATATAACCATAAGAAATTAATTCTGAAAAGATATACAACAAAATGTTACCATAGTAATCTCCAAGTACGGGGTTAAATGAAGAATTTTCTTCTTTTAACTTTCCTTTACTCCCTGAAAATTTCTGCAATGAGTATATGTTACATTTAAAACCAGGAAAAATAATCAATGTTTTGATGTTGAGGGGATAAAATACCTCAAACCACAAAGTAACTGACAAAAAAATACAGAAGGGGTAACTTCCACAATCCATGTTGAGTGATAAAGACAGTGGGGTGGGTTATGTGAGAGAAGCATACCTTGTCAAATGTAGTTTTTTGTTCAGGTGGGGGGAAAGCAGCTTTTTGTTCAGGTGGTTGTGTAGGAGTTGTCTTTAACTGAGCTGTGATAGCCTGAACCTGAGCCATTACAGCATTGTCAAGGGCAGGAGACTGTGGTTTTGGAGGTTGCTGAAAAGTCTGAAGGATCTGCTGAAGCTTAAAGAATGGGAAGATGACACACAACAAAGTATAATCATAGTATCAAAAGTTGATTCACTTAAAACAAAATCTTAAAGGTGACTCAAAATAGCGTACGCACAATAAACTGGAAAAAAACCCCCTCCTTTTACTAATGGTTAAGTCTGTTGTGAATGAATACATCAGAGATATAATATGTGTCACGTAAGTTTAAAAATGTATGCTGACAAATTAAATGATATAAAATAATGGTCAAAAAGAGAAAATACACTAAACTGTGAACAAGGTAAATCTAAGTTTTCTAGAAAAATGGAAGAATTCTCTCTGATCTAAATCATTTTGAAATCAATGAGAAATGCCAGAATTAGGAGCAACAGCAGCCACTTAGCAGTTCTGAAGTTCTCTTCAAAGAGGTACTGCCATTTCTCAGTGTGGTGTTCTCGGTTTTCACTTCAGCGTTTTCCCTATTACCCCTATGTCATTACCTTCTCCACGAAGAATTTTCCAGTTGAAAAGGAGACATATTTTCTCCCTTAAATGTGTTCATCAATGAGAAATGGAAAACAAGGACTGACAACAGTACCTAACCCTGCAAACAATTGAATCTTAGAATAAATAGTTTACCTGTTGTCCTTGAGTTGTCTGAAAAAGTTGAGCTACAGCAGCAAAAGCATCAGAGCTGGGCAACTGTGGTACGGTCGGTACAGAGTTCGGAGTGGCTTGTGGGAGTTCAGAAGGGACTTTTACTGGAGGCGGTGGTGAACCTAAAAAAAGAATAAAAAAGAAAAGGGCATTAAGGCCTAAGAAAATATTAACCTACAAGTTTATCCTTTTTATTCCATTAAGCTTCTTCGCTAAAATAAAATTCCATCTAGTTTAACATATGGTAAAATATATAGCCTGTGGTACTAGAGCTTGTAACAAGTACCAGAAAAGCGTATTATTATTAGAAATATGAATTATGGAAAGAAAATCGTACTTTCTAAGATGTAAGCTCAAGTTTCCTTCTTAAAGAAAAATTCCACCAATATACACAGACTCTAAACCTTTCATGTATAAAACGTTATACCATTATCTAAGCTCACAAGATGTACTTGACCATACCTTCATTATTGGTAACATTTTCTGCTACTGGGGCAGCATTACTGGTTCCTGCTGCCATGTCCAAAAGAGGCTGAATAATTTCAATTTTGAATACTCCATTTTTTTGCCAAAGGTTCAGCACACGAACTATTTTACTCTGTTATGTGTGAGAAAACATGAATATACAATAAATATTTGCATAAATTACACATTATACCTCTTACAAAAAGAGAGAACCCCCCCCCACCCCAGAGGCTAACTTTCCATATTAAGTCTATTTCATAAAATCCATCAGAATTATAACCTGGTTAAACTACTCTAATTAGCCTTTCTTCAGTGGTATAATCTAGAGTAAGAAACAGAGATGGAATATAGACCTAGAGACTACAAAGTAATATATTATTTAATGTTTTCATTACATTTTATTTCCAGTTACAAATAAGACTCCATTACTGACAAAACAGTTATCTTAGAGAACTAAATGAAGTGAAAGAGAATTTCTTCAGGATACTCATAACAGCTAAAATATTTAAGTAAATGGTCTATAATCATGAGGTAAGTTGTTTTGTGCTAAGTAAATATGAAGGAGATCCAGAGAAGATGTGTTATTCACAGACACAACTGTTATTTACTACTCAAGGAATCATCTTGGCTTTTTGGTACATTTTCCCCACAGGAACACTCTTCCAAGAATATAAACATAGAATTTGTAAAACTCAAGTTTATATGCCATTTATTGTAAATGCCTCCATTCTTCATAATTCTAAGTATGTTTACCAGTGTTTAACTCTCCCACCTTTTTATAGTTCAGTTACTATATCCGTAATGTTTTTCTACCTTTGTGTAGTATATTGTAAAACCAGCTGGAATAAGCAACAATCTGAGACGAAGACTGCCTTTCTCTACTGCAGAATTTCTCCGTCACTAATGACAGAAGCACATCTTTCTAATAATATCTTCTTTAAAGCAAGATGATGATCCTTTCATGTATTTTTTTAATTTTTAATTTTATTGTGGTAAGAACACTTAATCTGAGACCTATCCTCTTAACAGATTTTTAAATGTTTGACAACTGCTAACTACAGGTACAATGTTATTCAGTGAACATGTTGAACTTACTCATCTTCCTTAACTGAAATGTTATACCTGTTGATTAGCAATTCCCCATTTCCCCTTTCCCTCAGTCCCTGGTAACCACCCACTTCATTCTTTGATTCTATAAATTTGGTTCCTTTCATATTTCAACAGTACAACATTCCTGAAGGACTTCACAAGAGATTAATATAAAATGACCACTGAAGAAAAAACTGGGTCTTATTTCAAGCTCACAGATATCACCACATGCAGATCTTATTTAGTAATAGTAGGCTTCAAATATCCAACATACATTTAAATAAATAGAGAAACAAAACCAACAAGAATACAAGTTTTAATTTAAAAATTATTAAGATAATACCTTATCTTCAGATGGACAAAGATACAAGTATTGGAATGTGGCAGTTATGTTTTTAGAGAATCTTGGCCCAAAAACATCTTTATCAGTTCCGAACTGATGACGAGACTGCCGCACAATTGAGTCAATTACATATAATCCCGGAACCTTGTATTCTGGTTTACACTGTAAGGATAAAGTTGTAAAGTCAGTACAAGAAAAGCAAAGTCACAATTTGACACCCCTTAATCTCACATTTATAAAACTCTTTATATATCCATCCAATGATTGTCTCTGTTTAAAAATTACTAGAATGTTTTAGCTCTTTAATGGGCTAACTTGTCAAATTTCCCACGTCTGTATAGAACATTCTTGATAAGTCGGATCCCCAAGATTTTACTCTTCTGATTCCTCTACCTCCCCACACACAACGTCTCAGAATTGACATCAATCCCTAAGCTACTTCCATATAAATTCACTTACTATGACAGTGTCTACTCCAATTCATCCTGCTCAAAAAGATAATTTTTACCTTTTCTTTTTATTTATTTATTTATTTATTTTTGAGACAGAGTTTTGCTCTGTTGCCCAGGCTAGAGTGCCGAGGCGTTATCCTAGCTCATAGCAACCTCAAACTCCTGGGCTCAAGCGATCCTTCTGCCTCAGCCTCCCGAGTAGCTGGGACTACAGGCATGCGCCACCATGCCCGGCTAATTTATATATATATATGTATTTTTAGTTGTCCAGATCATTTCTTTCTATTTTTTAGTAGAGACGGGGTCTTGCTCTTGCTCAGGCTGGTCTCGAACTCCTGACCTTGAGCGATCCACCTGCCTCGGCCTCCCAGAGTGCTAGGATTACAGGCGTGAGCCACTGTGCCCGGCCTAATTTTTATCTTTTAAAATTATAAAAAAATAATTTTAACAACACATCAATTTCAGTTCTATTAAGGTATAATGCCAGAGAAATAAATTAAATTAAAAAGAAGTAAATTAAAAAGAAGTCATTTTTGGCCAATCATTAATCAACAAAGATTAAAAGAATAGCAGAGAAATAGGCATCTATATATATTTCCTATTGGTAGTGGAAACAGGTACAACCCTTTATGGAAGACAATTAAGCAATAAAAGCAAAGTCTCACCTGATCAAACAATTCTACATCTAGGAATTTATACTAAGGAAAACAATTAAGATGCATGTAATTTTCCCTGTAAGGTTAGCCACTACAGTGTTGTCTATAAAAAGTAAAAATAAGAAATATCTAAATATCTAACCATACAGAAATGTCCAAGTACATCATGGTAACAATCATATAAAGGAATACTTTGCGAATGTTTATGATAAACTCAATGGGAAAAGCAGGTTAACAGCCAATATTGTCTCTATTTTTCCTTTTGTAAATGTATATGTATATAAATAAGTAAATCCAAATGTAAGTACTGCAGTAATTGGGAGGCAGTGGCATGTAGGTAATTTAAATTTTTTCCACTTTATTTATTTGTACTTTGATTAGCTACTATGAAAAGCTTTTACTAACTATTTTTTTTGTCTGCCGGACCTCTAATTTTTATCCCTAAGCCAGTACGCAAAGGCCATGCTTCAGAGACATCTCTATAAACATTTATTAGTATGTACTACGTGTCACAGCTTCAGGTCAAGACTTAAAAGAAAGGTGTCTAAGTATGTTCTCAAGTCTTCTACTGAGACAGATGTGTGCTAGTCATACAGTTATAAAACAATAGACAACTATAGAACTGAAAAAACGGTTTAATTCTGATAGAGTAGTGAAAAGTTGGAAAATGTTAAGAAGTAATTTCATTTGAAATACTCAATACTCAAGAGTAGACCAGGTAAGGGGTAGAGAGCAAGCACTTCAGGTTTAGGGAAGGGTCTTGTCCAACAGGAAAAAAACCCTTTTGTGAGTTGAGTGCTAAGCACGCAGTAGGTGCTCAATCCATGGTACTGTTATAAATGTGTTCTTAAACTTCTAGTGATTAAAAAGAATCTCTAGTGACTACTTTTTTGTAGAGTGGCTTTAGAAGCAAGTACCCAAATTACAATTTACGAAGTAAATTATAAATATGCATAACTAAAATACTTACCTTTTTGATGAACTTTTCTACTATTTGAACTACATGCTTATAAAGCTGAAAAGAAGTAAAAGAAAATTACTATCCAGTTTACATATTTCTATATTTCCTATCATTAAAAAATACCTAAAAACCTTGAAATCTGTACAATTTAAATAATTATCAAGATAATACTGAATGAACCCTTAGAAATAATCCATAATTAACTAAAAATGTCTTAAACCAGAAAAGAATAAATTAAAACAGAAAACTATAAAAAATCCCCCCAAACAGAAGATCCTTTAAGATTTTAAACCAATAAACCTTCATAAAGAAGGATATTAGGCAACTTTATGAGAAGGACAAGACCAATGGAATCAGAACTAACCAATGTAGTTTCTAAAATGAGCCATTTATTAAAGTATGATCTTGGGTAAGACATTTAATTTCACACAACTCAAGTTTTGTCGTTTTTTTTAAATAAAAATGAAGCTAAATACTCAGTGGGTTTATTACAAAGATTAAATGAAATAAAGAAAAAAAATTGCTTTGAAACAATATTTTAAAATGCAAATATTGGTATCATCAGGTACCTTAAGCAAAAACTAGTTAGTGCTCTTCGAGGCCTGAACTAATTCACAAGATGAATTCTCATATGTCTAACAGTAACATTTTCAAAATTTCAAAAACACTTCTCAAATTGAATACATTTATTTTATTCTTACCTTAATAGCTTTAATAGCAGCTTTAGTGATGAGAATCATCTTGGCTCTAGAGATGGGAGGTTTCATATCCATAAGTGAAAAGAGCTGGAAAAAAAAAAAAACAAGAAAAAAACATAAAAGATAAATTTAGAGGTCAACCTTCCCTGTTCTACAAAGATCACTGCAATCTATTAACTAAAAGAACAACAAACTTCTGGAAACAAAAGTTTAACAATTTGGCTAGTAAGTAAAAGCCACTTTTCTGATATATCTTCCTCACCCCTTAGAAAACACAATGGGAAAAGATCATATTAAAAACAGCAAAAAAAAAAGAAAAAAACAATCACGAACCTAGAGGTACATCTGGTACTTCTAAAAAGATATCTTGAACTATGTTTCAGGGATTCCTGAGTATTATCAATTTCATATGAATCACATTTCCATTCTTTCCAATTGATGTCAGTATTTTAAATATGGACCCGTAGGATATGAACCTTTACTAGACCACTACCCTAAGAGGCTAAAACATTAAGAAATCTTCAGGCCTGGTGCGGTGGCTCACGCCTGTAATCCTAGCACTCTGGGAGGCCAGGGTGGGCGGATTGTTTGAG